CGCCCCGCCACGTCCCGCCACGCCCCGCCACGCCCCGCCACGTCCCGCCACGCCCCACCACGCTGCTGCGGCGGGCTGCGAGTACGAGTCGAGGTGGGGCAGGGCACAACACAGCGCTATGCGATCGCGGTCAGTCCGAGTGAAAGGACGGCTCGGCTCGGCTCGGCAGGTGGAACGGACACTTCCTGCTCCACATGCGTGTGTTGGCCGGCCTGGCCCTACCAGCATCCGACTGGGGGGTCAGTGGACCAACGAGGAGAGTAGCAGCTCCTCGTGCTCTCCGTCCACCCCCTCCCAGGGCAATCCAGAATTAATTTCAAAAGTGTGCGTCGCATTTTGAGCAGATTGCTCGGAACGATCTTCCAATCCACCTGAGGACAGGCCCTCTCAGAATTTGAAGAGGGGGGGGGGGCAGTTTTTGGATTAAATTTAGAGGTTGCGCACAGGTTTCAAAGTTCACATTGGCTTCTACGCACGGTAAATACCGGTAAATACAATGTCTCATTGTTTTGAGGAAGTCCTAAATTTGAGGGGAAACTCGTCAAATCCAGATCTCGCCTCGGATTTTGAGGACCTCCTAAAAAAATGAGGAAAATTCCCACTTCCTCAAAATCTGAGGAGTTTTCGGGAGTTGCTCAGAGTTTTCCCTTTTCCCTCAGCTGACACCTTAAAGTTACTTATATATTCTTTATGTTTAGTCAAAAGGTTTTTAAGGTATCATCTGCTCAAAACGTATGGATCGCCCTAAACCTTTCGCCGTTCCGTCCACGGGCGGGGTAGGTGATGGGGGACTAGCGCCTGGCGGGCGGGCAGTCCCGTTACGCGCACATGTCCGACCCGGCGGCCTACCCGACAGGCGCTCTCACTCACGGACCCCTCTCTCTCATGTTGCAGGTGCCGCTGCGGCGCGGCCCCGCGCTGCTGTCGCTCGTCGCGCTCCTGGCCCTGCCCCGCGCCGACGGCTTCCCCGACGGCGCCAAGGTGGGCAACTGCGGCGACCTGGTGCCGGGACACCCGTCGTCGCCCCAGGACGGGCGCGCGCCGTTCGCCGTGTCGCCGGCGCGCGCGCGCACCGAGGAGGGACGCGTGCGCGTCATGCTGACGTCGCCGCAGGGCGTGGGCTTCACGGGCTTCGTCTTGGTGGCGCGCCCGCTCAACGCCGAGGACGGCGACGGCACCAACGCCCTGGGCCACTTCAGCAGCATGCCCGAAGAGGCCATGCCCCTGGCGTGCGGCAGGGCGGCCAGGGTGAGTACTTGCGGGCACACGATCTTTTGTGTGTTTCCAATTTAAACTATTTCAAAACATTTCTATTTTCTTTTCAAACCCCCATTCCAAGACTATTCCATATCAATTTCAATTGATGTCAAAAATATTTCAAATCGTTTGAAGCCATATCAAAATTGATATGGCTTTAGGACCATTTCAGACTGTTTCAATTTCATTTCACTGAACTGAGTGTCAAGACTAATACTCGGTTTTGCGGGTTTGCATACCCAAGGGGCAATGGTCCCTTACGGGCAGATCGGGTAGGCAAGCCCGCGCTATACTGTGATGTATTGCCTTTACAGACGGTGTCGCATCTATGTGAAATTTGTTGTTAACCCCTTTGATGGTCCTTTCCTCTTTGCAGAGCGGCGCCACGCACAACAACAAGGAGCGCAAGAAGAACCTCGAGTTCGAGTGGGAGGCGCCCGAAGACTTCGAGGGACCCGTCGTCTTCAAGTGAGTAGCGCCCGCATCCTAACTGAACAGAAACTAATGTGAAACGTGTCATTTGAGTAAAGTGGACATCCTTAGATCACGTCGTAAATGTCCGCGGTGTTACTGTATTTTTGGCGAGGGGGCAATAACTCCGGGAATCATGTGTACATCTGCCTGGAAGTCATCAAGATGAAAAGTAATTGAAATCAACAGAAATCGTTTAAACTAAGTGGGAAACTAATGAAACTGATACAAATTAGTCAAAGTAAGCGTTTTCTCCCACTAGAAAACCTAAGGCATGAATATAAGTGGACGGGAATCACTGGGAATCACAAGGAATCAAGTATTTCGGGAATCATGTGTACACACCAAAAGGGAGTTATTGCCCCCTCGATTTTTGGTCATGTTTGTGAGAACTCCCATGTGTTTCTGTCTAGTACCAGCCGGTGCTGCATCAATTGGCGAGACCGAACTGGTCACTCCAATCGATGCCAACTGTGGCACACAAGTTTTTCTGTTGAATTCACTTGTTGTTAAATGCTGTTTCCTTTAGGGCTCTTATTTTTACCCGAGTACCCGGGTAACACGGGTGGGTACCCGCCCGGGTAGGAACCGGGTCAACGGGTTTTCCCGGGTACCCGGGGTACCCGGGTAAACCCGGCGGACCCGCGCCTGTAAGTAGGCAACTTGTCATGCCTGTATGCCAATTTGCCTATACTTGCAGGCG